AAAATAATGTACAGGATGGGCGGGCCAGATCGGTGTTGGGCTTTTGATTGCGTCAGCATCCAATTTGGATCATCAGCCGTGCGCTGACCGGCCGGTTGAAAGAGGTAAAAAAAAAAAAGAAGGTCCAGATGGATGACTGCCAGCGATGCATCCAAGCCCAACTGGACTCAGTGACTGTGTCAGCGGACCTGCAGTTTATAATCAGCAGAATAGGATCTTCTTTTTGGTGGCATTTCACTTCTGTTACGCTTTTTCTCCGTTGTCTTCTCTGTACTCGCTTAGAGAATGTTTGGCGGGAGGGCGGCAGGGGCTTAGTATACAGGAACAACATACTGTATGTGTAAGCCTACCGATAGCTGTCAAAAGCCTAGAGGACCCTCTCGCACCTCTAGCGGCTGCAATTGGTAATATTTACTCTGGTTCATGTCAGTACGAACGAACATTTAAAGCATTAGTCAAAAATTTCTCATGAATATGGAAAAAAAACGTACACAAGTTGCAGGACTGGTCAAACCATGAAACAAAACGGTGACGTATAGTCCAAAAAATATGGTAGTCTCTCCTCCCTCACTTGTAAGCAAACCCCCAAGATACCTAAACTCCCTGCTTGAAGGAGCACATCAAGCTCAACCCTTTTCTGACTGAGAACCATGACCTGAAATATAGAGGTGCTGATCCTGATCCCAGCTGGATGCCAACCGCTCCAGTGAGAGCTGGAGATCAAGACAAGATCATGCTAACATGAGCACATCATCTGCAAATAGCAAGACTGAACCCTGAGACCACCAAAGTAGACCATCCATCCCACTCTCTGACGGCACAGAGAAAGCTCTGAAGAGAAACAGTGACGGATCAGGCTAATGTAAAAAAAAAGATTTTAGACTATTAGCAGTAAAAAGAGACAGCTGTCTCGTGCAGACTGTGAGGCAGACAGACACGTGCAACATACATTCACACATTGTTGTGACAGAAACAGGTCACTAAAGGTGTGCCAAGAATATCAGACTAGCACGCCGGCTTCTGTGTGATAGCTGATCTGACCATCTCAAGCATGACAGCAAGAATAACTACAATCATTTTCATGCTGGCGACTTTGATCCAATCTCCTGTCCTACTCAGACTGTTGGAACGCTCATCTATAACAAGCCGATAAGTGTTTTAGATTAAACCTCACGGTGAACGAAAGCACAACCAAACATTTACTCCACTGCTGCGGTCACACAAACGCCCCGTGGTGCCAAACACGTTCTCATAATGCTTTTGGAAAGTCGAAGCAAAAAGGAAGCTTTGGGGAATCAGAGCCATCCAGACAGACAGTTGTACTAAAATAACCACTGCACCCACAAGTTAAAAAATGTCAAAATATTTTCAATAATCATGGATGCCAACCACTTTTTTTTGCTGAAAAGAACAGTAATCATTCAGCTTCTTGCCAGTCAACAGATAAAAAGACAGCATCTGTGATGGTACGAGGGTGCGTTCACATATTTGGCACAAGCACTGTTCAGTTTCTGAATATTTGGATCTCTTCTTCAGTCAAAGCGTACTTAATCCAGCAAGACGTTGTCTAAATTTCCCAATTTCAAGATGTGATTTATTGTTATATCGTCAATAGAATATGTTTACATGGGCCTGTCACAATAGCAACTTTTGCTAATTGTCTCAGAAATTATTGTGATAAACGATAATATCGTTTTAAATTTGACAACAATTAGTAATTATTGTCAAATTTAAGAAGGAATGTTGGTTAATTTGTTTTGAGTGTGTTAACTTTTTTCCGACCACCGGATGGCAGTATAAGACTCTTTGAACCAAAGGATGGATAGTGAGAGAGCGAGCGGCGTGTCTCTAAGAAAAATAGGAGGGAGGCCCCTTGACGTGACATGGGCTGTCTCTCCTTTGTTGGGTTCTCAAAATGGCGGATGCTCGATGTGGTTTGAGCTCTTTTCACACGAAGCTTTTAATTGAAAAACCAGTAAACAAGTTCTCGGCTTCTTTTTGCAGAGAAAAACAACTTTTTACACCAAGGCACGGGTTTCAACTGTGAATTTTAAAGCTTCGACAAGACGGAGGTTTTTTGCCCCGAGGTCGGCCTGTTAGCTTAGCTCGTAGCTTAGCTTCTCAGCTTAGCTTCTCAGCTTAGCTGCTTTTAACGATCCAAAAACACAACTCTGGACGGTTAAAATGGATTTTAAAAAGAACAGAGAAAGAGTTGAGCCTTTTCTCATCCAGTGTCTTCAGTAGAAAGAGAGACACGAAGAAACGATAAAGCCGATAAATGAAAACGAGGCTGATGATTTTTATTTATCATGCGATTAATTGACTTATTGCTTATCGTGACAGGCCTATATTTACAAATACCTAAATTCAGTTTAATGATCAGATTATTTAGAGGAAATAGCTGAGAGGATATACCTTGGTGTAGATTGTTCAACTGTAAGCGTATATGATTTATTTCCTCATTTTCAATCTCTCGACTCACTTCCACCTGAGCGAAAACGTTCAATGAAGAACGACAAAGTTAAATCCCGGGAAAATGGAGCAAAACAATCCGAGCTATCCAGTGGGCGTGCAAGAATACGCACCGTGTATCTAATAAATCTGCCGCTGCGAACTCAGAGCAGATCAGAGCTTTGAGATGTTCACAAACTTAAAATCTGCTGGGAGGTTTTGAGAAGTCAACTGGTGACGTGATGCTGGCGGGTTTGACCAAATATTGGGCCCAACACTTTGATCCAATGAGTCGTGTTGTTCTTGACAGTCGGCCATTTAAAACCCTGCTGTAGGATTTAAAAAGCAAAGGTTGGATTAATTATTAACTTCAGTGTATTTTGAGTTTCTTTGTTCCTAAATGACATTAGTGGGTGACAGCTAGCTGACAATCGAGGATCTTTTGAACGGCACTTAGTAGGACGGACATCAGACTGGAACCTGGAAGTTGAAGTCATACTGGGACTAGCTTCCATGTCGACTGGTTCCAATACTGTTTTTTTGTTTGTTTTTTTTTGGATTATAAGGCGCATTAAGCGAAACAAGTTCATTTTGACAGATTTTTGAGCACCATGTACCACATAAAATCGGTTCGAGGTCAGTAAGTACAACCAGAATTAATAGCTAAGGTGCACCGGATTATAAGGCTCACTGTCGATTTTTGAGAAAATTAAAGAATTTTAAGTGTCTTAAAGTCCGAAAAATACGGTACAAATTTTAAGTCTTGCTCCGTCCATTTAAACAAACAGGACAGGGGACTTGTTCTACAATTAACGCTTCCTCCGGCGATGTTTTGTTAAGAAGTTGACACTTGTTGAATCACAGTTCTGAAGGATGTGCACATCCTTAATGAAGAGGAATGTTAATTTGAGAGGAGTGAAGGAAGCCATCTTTGTGAGAAGAACCTGTCCATCATTAAACAGGGGCGGAGACGTCCGTGTCCAACTGTCCCCCCTGTGTGCTAGTATCACTCAGCCCTCTGTGAATAGCAAGCGGCCATCAGGGCACTAACAATTGGTCCTCCTTTGGCATGTGAACAGCTAGTTTTGGCTGCCACCAACAAACTGGTTGATCCACTATGAGAAGGTGATATTTATAAGACTGAGTTTGTTGCAGCTCCTCAGACTGAAGAAGTCTTTTGGATAAAAGACAAAACATTTCAACAAGAATCCATCCAGAGGACCTGACACCTTGTTAGATGTGTCTCTGGATTATTGAGTATGCATTGGGACATGCTGTATATATTTATCTATGTTTAACTTATTATAAATATTTGTGTGTGGTAGATTAGGTTAGATTTAAAGCTCCAGATGTGCAGTTTACAAATGCCGATTCCAAAAATGCAACATGGCAGCTGCAGGAAAATAGTTCTACTGGTTTTCTTTCTCGTCAGTCCTGGTGAGTTAAAACCACCCAGAGTGGGCTGAGTTCAAATCTGGATTATGTGTAGTGTTCGGGGACACATCACTTTGTTTAGTGTGATCAAAGCTGAACCTATAAATCACATCTGCTCAAGAACCAAAACGTGTGTTTGTTGATGAAGCAGCTTTGGACAGCTGGAAGGAGAGTCCAGGTGGTGCAGCTCAAACCCACCACCATCCTGTTTCCTGTTGTTATTTATTACAGAGGCAGTCTCACCTGTGACATCTGGGGTCTAAAGTTGATCTCCTTCAGATCCACGGATCCAGGGGAGAGGTTGTGCAACATCTGGCACAGAAGAACCCCGTCCCTCAGAGCCTGGGCCAAGTCGAACACGGCCGAGGAGGGCCACACGACCCGGTGGTTCGGGGGAAGGACCTTGCAGTCTATCAACCACCGCCCGCACTGCCTCCACTCCTCCATCCCTGCGCTCAATCCGCACACTACCCGAGTCCTGGAGAGGCGCGCGTCAGGGCGCGCGGAGCGCTGCGGTGGGTTTCCTCTGATTTCAAAACTTTCTGCAGGGAACAGAATCCAGATTCATGTCGGAACATCCACTTCAGGAGGAGGCTACAAGGATTTTCTTCTCTTCATTATCCTGACAAAGTTGCTGTCCGCATATCCGATCTGGGGGGGAGGGAAAAAAAAAAAAGGCGTGAAAGCGAACAGCTGGATGTGGCAGCGCGTCGCGCACACTTCGCCACCGTCACAGAGTCAACACAAAGCCGCGCTCGCTCACTGCATCTCACGGTTCGTCACGGCAGAACTCGAACTTCCATGATTTGTGGAGCAAAAATAAAAGGAGGAATTTAAAAAAAAAAAAAAAAGGAGGCGCGCGCTCAGAGGATTCCCCTCCTTGAAGACCGCGTCGCTCCCAGCCAGAGGAACCCGCCCAGAACCGAGCCCGCGTGTATCCTGTTCAGTGTAAAGTTGCTGCGTCTCGGAGCAGCGTGGAAACCAAACCGAGCTCTGCTCAGGTTCCTCCCTCTCTCCGCGGTTCCTTTCGGCGCGTGTAACCAACTCCCGTCCACCCCCCCACCCGCCGCCCTGCGCGCGGCTTCGCTCCACACTCCGGGGGTGAAGCGGTTTCCTTCAGCGCGAAGTTGTGCGCTGGACAGATCGTCCTCACTTTGCTGAAGTGGCGTCCACGCACGCCACAAGAAAACATGGGAGTTTGGAGCGTTTGGGGAAGTGAGAGCTGAGGTGGCGCCCTCTAACGGACGAGCTGAGAACTGCACGAGGAGTTGTTTCAAGATGAGCAGATTTTTTATTTATGGTCTGGATGTTCATGAAGCATCACTCCACTGCGATTCTCGTCCCGCAGTTTTCAACTGTTTCAACAAATCATAAATCTAAACGTTTAGGACAACCCTGCTACGACTTTTGGTATCGGTGCAACTTTAGCTTTTTGAACTATTTAGCCTTTTCTGACATTTTTTTCCTCATAGAAAATGAACTGAGCTCATTTTCCATCCTTCACATCTTTAGATGTGTTTACAACTTTTTGCTGCTCCTTTCACATTTTGTTCTGCTTCAGCTTCTTTCAGTTGTTTTGTGCTCCTTTCATATTTTTTCTGGTCAGTAAAACGTTTTTGTACATCTTCTAACTTCTTCCTGCTAATTTCTGCTTGTTATGCTCCTTTCAGCAAGTTTCAGCTTTTTCTACTATTTCAGCTATTATGGTTTTATGTTAACAATTTTTTTTTCAACTAATTCCACAGTTTTTTGCACTTGTTTCAACTTTTTTCAGCCTAATTCAGCAAAAATTTGCTCTCTCCACTTCCTTCTATAGTAATTTAAGCTTCTTTATGCCTTTTAAGCTACTTTTCAGCTGTTTTTTTCTCTTCTAATTTTGGCTTCTTCTTTTTTCAGATAAATTCTACTTTTTGTACCCATTTCTGATTCTTTCAGTCTAATTGAACAAATATGTGTTCTTTCTGCTTTCTTCTGCTAACTTAGGCTTGTTCTTCCATTCCATTTCAGCATGTTTTTAGCTATTTTCAATTGTTTTTATGCTAATTTAAGTTTTTTTCAGCTAATTCCACATTTTTGCACTCAATGTTTTAAGCCTAATTCAGCAAAGATGTGTTCTCTCCGCTTCCTTCTGGTGATTTAAGCTTTTTTTATGCCGTTTTAGCTACTTTTCAGCTTTTTCTTTTTTGCTAATGTCTGCTGTTTTCAGATAAATTCAACATTTGTGTAGTAATTTCTACTACTTTCAGCCTAATTAAATTATTTCTGATAATTTCAGCTGGTCATGCTCTTTTCCGCTTATTTCTGTGAGTTTCACCTTTTTTTCTATTTCAGCTACTATTTAGCTGTTTCATGCTAATTTAAATTTTTTAAGATAATTCCACATTTCTTTGCAGTCATGTAAACTGTTTTCAGCCTAATTCAGCAAAAATGTGCTCTCTCCACTTTCTTCTGGTAATTTAAGCTTCTTTCTGCTTTTTTAAGCTACTTTTCAGCTGCTTTTTTTTTTTTTGCCAATTTTTTCAGATATGTTCCACTTTTTTGTGCTCATTTTTGATTCTTTCAGCCTAATTGGTCAAATGTGTTTTTTCTGCTTTCTGCTAGCTTAGGCTTGTTTTTTTTTCCATTTCAGCCACATTTCAGCATGTCTTTAGCTATTTTCAGCTGCTTTTCACAAGTTCTTCAGCAATAAGCATTCACACTGCATTTTTACAGGAAATGCAATTTCTCTAGTTTATTTCTGGTTGAGAAAACAGAATATTAAAGCTTTCTTGCAGTGACAGCCGTGCACGTTTTCTTCAGTCGCTGTTGTTGTTTCAGGCAGTGGGTCTGACTGTGGGGACAATGGTAAATGTGAAAAAAGCTGTGCCACATATTCTTTTCTCACATATTTTGCACATGTTACGCACTACCATTAGTCTAAGCACACTGTTCCTGATCAAGACATGTGGGCGTTTGATTTGTTTGTTGTATTTCACAGCTGCACAGCGAGATAGAGGACAACACATTTGTGCAGGGAAGCAGGAGCTCCATGTGCACAAGGGTAAGCTGAAAAACACGAATCATGTCTCTAAGAAAAGCTTCAGGTGGTATTTTGTTTACCTTTTTACAAAACATACCAAGATCAAAAAAAGAAAAATGTTGGAGATTTTTTTTAACCCATTTTACTTGCAAGGACAGACGGTCACAACAGGCAGATGTTTCACTGAAGCCCGGTCGCGAGGACCTGCACCGGACAGTGTGCGGGAAGTGTTTTTATAATGCCCACCAGCTCCTCCGAGCTCGCAGACCCAGAGGCGACCTTGGAGTACCAGCTGCACATGCAGTATCCAATCAGCTCCTCATTCATTTTCCTCTCTGCTAACTCAAACACATGGTTCATGGGCATCTTCAACCATAGTAGTTAAAAACATCCATAAACCTTCAGCAAAATTCCCCCGACAAAAACAATAAATAAAAAGATTTAGCTACCGTAATTCCCGGACTATTGAGCACCCCCAAATATTAGACACGCCCACTAAATTAAAAAAGTATTTTGTATACAAGTAGGCCGTGCTTGTCTATAAGCTGCAGGTGTCCACATTGTAACATGAGATATTTAGACAGAAATATATATATTTTTTATTTTAATTAAACGCATATTGGCAACATATACAAATATGTACAGTATTTGTTTTTTTCTGAACCGTGCCTGTAACACGAATGATTAAAAAAAAATAATAATAAACACAGTAGCCTGCCAGGAAAAGTTACTGATCGCTATTTTCACACTGTTATCTCCAACGTCTCACCATCGATTCATTGACACCAAGCTCACGTGTATCAGCTCTATTTATTTATTCGACAGCCAGATCGATCGCCTTTAACTTGAAAACGCAAAATAACCGATCTGAAGACTTTATTGTGAGTGTGTTTGATTTATGATAATTTGAAATTTCATTGGTCCACTGCGACCTGTTCGGTAGTTTATTTAAAAGTAACATTTCAAGCAGTGTTTTGAGTTGGAGACAGATTGTGGAGAGGCTCCATGAAGACGAGCTTCAGTTGTATTTAATCTGATGAAACTTTCAGCAGCCCTGACCTTTAAGAGGTTGGATGTCTGCAGGGGAAAAAGCTGTTAATCTGTTTTAAAGATGTTTTAATGCATCTCACTGTGTCATATCAAGACCTTTATTTAAAAAAAATAATAAAAGGTCTGCGAGCTTCCATATGCATCACCGTTCACGTGAAGGGAGTTGCATAAATGAGTGCCCTTTGCACAGAGAAACGTGCGACGTACAAATAGTCTCCGAGCGTGATCAGGGAGCCACGAGATCACTTAACCTTTAAGGACTTTTTCAAGATGGATTGTTTGAGTCTTTAGGCATCGTTCAGGAGGAAACACGGGGCTGGTGAAGAAGTGAACAGAGTCAACGTCTTGCAGCAATCTTCAAGGAATTTTGTGGTTTCCAGCACAACCACATTGTGGTTTCACTGTAATTAGGGCAATATGTGATAAGGAACAAATAACTTTTCTATACGTTTACTAGACAGCTGGAAGTTAAAACATGCCAACAAAATGGACATGCATGGATGTTTTCTTGCAAGCGTCAAACAGAAAAATAATAATAATAATTTTAAATAATCGTGCATGTGAAAAACACGTATATAATCTACTATTATAGGATATGTTTGGGAGCTGGTGGAGTACAGATGCTGATTCAGTCTCATTAAATGTTACAATCCTTCCTGTGTACCACGCGAGTGTGACACGACTCTGAAAATCATCCTGCTCAGCAGAACCTCTCCATCCATAAGCCATGGGCCCTCGAATAAATCAACAAGAATCATAAAGTCTGCAACAAACTGAGCATATAAAAATTAAAAAAAAGTCTAGAGGAATTGCATTTCCTGTGAAAATGCAGTGCAAATGCTTATTGCTGAAGAACTTGGTGCAAAACAGCTGAAACTAGCTATAAAAACATGCTGATTTTTAGCTGAAATGGAAGAACAACAGAAGAAAGAACACATATTTGCTGAATTAGGTTTAAAGAAGCACAGAAATGACAAAATTAGCTTTAAAAAAGGTTGAAAATAGCATTTAGCTGGAAAAAAAAGGTTTAAATTACCAGAAGGAAGTGGAAAGAGCTGAGATTAGCTTTTAAATAAGTAGAATTAACTGAAAAAGCTAAAATAAGCATAAAACTGCTAAATAGTAGCTGAAAAACTAGCAGAAATAAGCTAAAAGGTGCACAAGCTGGAAGTTTGTTAGGTGGAACAAAGCAGAAATTAGCACAAAAAAGTGGAAATTATCTGAAAAAAGCTGAAATTAGCCAAAAAACAGCTGAAAAGTAGCTAAAAAGAAGAAACCTAAAATAAAAAGTCATTCTAAATTACTGTTAGGAAGTGGAGAGTTCATTTTGCTGAAATAGGCTGAAAAAAATTAAATGAGTGCAAAAAATGTGGAATTAGCTGAAAAGGCTAAAATTAGCATAAAAACAGCTAAATAGTAGCTGAAAATGAAGAAATAGCTGAAACTTGCAGAAAAAGCTTAAAGGGGCATAACAAGCTGAAATTAGCAACAAGAAGAAGCACAAAAATGTTGTAGTTAGCAGAATACAGCTAAAAGGTGCACAACACAGCTGAAAAACAGCTGAAAGTAGCTGATTTTGTTTTAAAATGTGCAGAAGGAAGCTGAAAGAAGCTGAACCGGAACAAAATGTGAAAGGAGCAGTAAAAGTTTGTAAACAGATCTAAAGATATGAAGGATGTAAAATGAGTGCAATTCAGTTTCAATGAGAATAAAATGGCAGAAAAGGCTAAATATTTCAACAAGCTAAAGTTGCACCAATACCAAAAGTCACAGCAGGATTGTCCTGAAAGAGCCGAACGTTTATGATTTATTTGTTGAAATAGCTAAAAACTACAGGACAATAAAAGTGCCAAAAATATACAGAAGAAAAATGGATCACAATAGTGTTTATGCTTCATAAACATTCACACAACAAGTTCTCACATCTCAAACACTATCAGCTAATTACCAATTAAGAATCTTGAGCTATTTTAGCATGAGCTGATTAAACAGGAAATGAAGCACGTGCGCTTCATTCAGTATGAAACCATCGACACGAAACCACGTTAACTGAGTTTAAATTCATTTCATATTCGTTGTGGACAGTGTGTTCAAAAGAAAAGCAGACATTAAACGTGTGCAGTTTACACGCGTGGCCTTCTTTACCCACACTGATGGGCAGGAGTGGGAGAAATGATTAGTTGTCCTTAGAGCTGTGGCATCGATCAATCGTGGCCCGAGGACCTCAGGGTGGCATGTTCCATGATGGGAATGCAGGTCAGAAAAATCACATGAAGCAGCGTGCACGTGAAGCAGCGTGCACGGAGCAAGGACAGCAAGCAGGGCTGGAAGAAAACAAACGATGAGCATGCTGATTTATTTATTTATTTATGGTATTTTTCTGTTCAAAACGTGACAAAACTTGTGCTTATGTATTTAATAAAGGGCGTATTCTCATTATTCAAGCTGAATGCACAGTTACTGTATATAAAAATATATATAAAAATGATTAATATTAACATATAGACAAGATATTCCAGTGAAATTGGTTATTTTTAAAGCTCAAAACACAAAATGAAAAGCTCTGCAGGATGGTTGTGTATCGCCACCTCTTGCCTGGTTGCTGAGGTGCACATGGTTTGGGCTTCTTCTCATGAAAACCTTGTGTGTGAAGATGTGTCACTCCTCGTGCGTGCACGCTGAGGTCAAATGGAGCAGAAGGCAGCAGCTGGTAGAGGTGGGCAGCGCTGGCCTCGTGCCACGTCCTGCTGGAAGCCTTCGTGCTTTAAGGCAGGGCACGTCCTCTCATACTGGAGCTGCTCACACAAACACCTCACAACTCCTGTCAAGTCCCTTTATCACTTGTTTTCCCACACAACTTAAATTAGCCAATATAGCTAATTATATTATATTTGCAGGTTTTTACTGACATGTTTCTTTACCATAGTAAGTGAAACCATTCAAAATGAACAAATCTATTTATTGTGTGATGTAAATATATATAACTGAATATTTTCCAGCAGAATATCACGAATCTGATTTAAAATGTCACCTCTCCATCCATCATCTTCCACTTGTTCCGAAATCGTGTCGCGGAGGCAGCATCTTGAGCAGGGGGGTCCAGACATTTCTTTCCACGGCCACCTCTTCTGAGAAGATTCCAAGATGTTCCCAGGACAACAGAGACGTCGTCTCTCCAGCGTGTCCTGGGTCTCCTCCCAGTCGGACATGCCTGAACCACCTCAACTGGCTCCTCTTGATGTGGAGGAGCAGCGACTCTACTCCGAGTCTCTCCTGATAACTGAACTTCTCACTCGATCTCTAAGGGAGAGTCCAGCTGCCAGCAGAGGAAACTCATTTCAACCTCCTGTATCCACGATCTCACTCCTTCTGTCACTACCCAGAGTTCACGGCAGTAGGTGAGGGTAAGAACAGACTGACCGGCAGAGAGCGTTGCCTTATAGCTCAGTTCTCTATTCACCACCACAGACCAGCACAGAGTCCACAATACTGCAGATGCTGCACCAATCCGTCTGTAATTCTCACGCTCCATTCTTCCCTCACCCGTGAACAAAACCCTGAGATACTTGAACTCCTTCACTTGAGGCAGAACCTCACCCTCGACCTGAAGAGAGCAATCCACCATTTTCCGACTGAGGACCATGGACCAGATTTGGAGGTTCTGATCCTCCTCCCAGCTGTGAACCGCTCCAGTGAGAGCTGGAGATCACAGCGCGACGACGCGAACAGGACCACATCATCTGCAAAGAGCAGAGATGGACTCCTGAGGCCCCCTGGCTGCACCGAGTCATCATGTCACATCATAAAAACCAAAACTGAATTTTGGGATCCATAAAGTAAAACCAGTAAAGTCTCCACTGACTAAAAGACGATAAAGTTTATTTTTAATAAAGTGAGCATATACAAGTAGAAAAATAAAAATGTGTAAGAACATATTACAAAAAAAGGAATAAATACAACAGCAAGGTGCTCAAGAGTCACTGTCTTCTGTAGTGGAGTCGGAGGAGGTTCTGGAGGAAGAATCTGAAGAGCTGCTGCCGTCATGGAAGGCAGCTCCGTTTCTCTTTCCTGGATAAAGTGGAACAAAAAAGATGAAAACGATAAACAGGGTTGCCAGATAAACACAACATACAACTCATCTTACAAGCTCCTCCCCCAGAAAAGTCCACCTCACTCAGTACTTCAGACAGTTTGAGTCAAAATGCAATCATTTTAAAGCGACGGTACAGGAGTTTGTCATTTCTTATCTGGCAACCCTGACGATAAATATGATGAAGACGTTACAACTTCTAACAAACGGTTTGAACCTACTTTCAAGTTTCTTAAATCTCTTGTAGAAGTAGGACCTGACGTATCGCTGAAGGTCCCGCAGAGTGGACAGCTTCAGCACCTCGAAGTCGATCTCGATCTCGTCCAGGTTGGCGCCGCACATGGCGGGCTCCCGGTCGTGAATGATCTGCACCACGCGGCCCAACTTGAGGCTGGGCAGGCGGTTGATGTCGAGGCTCAGCTGGTGCTTTTCTTCATAAGACATCGGCAAAGATTCCTGGTCTGAATCCAAGTCTTCACACAGCGGCCTAAGGCGACCACAAAACAATTAGGTGTACAAACAAACAAACAAACAAACAAACAAACAAAAGGAGGTAACGTATGGTACCGTGTGCTGGAGATGGAAGTCAGCTTAGTTTCCCTGCTGCACTCTTTCTTGTCCTTCTCATTCCTCGTCTTTGGGGCTTCTGACAGGGCAGCGAGCTGAACACTCTTGAGCTACGTGGACAATTATTAGAAATAAATTAGCAGCTGCAAGATAAGCTAATAAAAATCACTGATCAAATTTAAAGTAGGAATGCACGATGTTGGATTGTTGGCCGATATCCGATACGCCGATATATTAAAACTTATTTGGTTGATAACGGATACCGATGTGATGTACAGATGCCAAAAAGGGGCTGAAAATGATGCAACACTTCAAATGTCAAATTTATTCATGACATTTACTCTCTCTAACACAATGACAACACTTGAACAGTGTAAATTTTCACAAATCTAAAGCGACAAGTGAAAAGTAGCGCATTTTGACTTCTTCTTCTCCTCCTCCGCCGCGGTCAGATCAGGTTGGCGTGCGTGACGTCATCATGTTGTGCTGCCGCTGCAGGCATCCTTGCTGTCATTCAAAAACAGCACCTTTTATATTGGAGTTAATTTGATGGAATGTCCGATATTTAACTTTAACGATATTATCGGCCGATACCGATACCATGCCGATGATATCGTGCATCCCTAATGTAAAGTGCCAACAAGTGCACGAAACTGTAGATGAAGTGACGTCAGGAAAAGGGTTAAAGGCCTAGCATCCTCGAGGAAAGCTTATAGCATCCAGTGATTCATGAAATATTTTGCTAACAAACAAGGGTTGACTTAATAAATTAATGCTGAAGTTTTTAAGTAAAATTTACGTGACGCACATTAATGATAATGCTTCTGTTCTGCCACACCAAACCACGTTTTTGATGTTAATTCATTGTGGAGGCCATTTTGAATCAGGATGACTCCTAAAGCTCACGAGTTAAAGAAATATGCAGAATGATTAACTTTCTGTGAGGTTCATTAAAATATGTCCAGTGGCTGACAGGACATTTTGCTAACAGACAGGCAAGACAGATGTCACAGTTACTGCTCAGGGTACAGTCTCTGAGCAAGCACAAAGGAGACAGTGGAAAGGAAAAACTCCTTTTAACAGGAAGAAACCTCCAGCAGAACCAGGCTCAGGACGAGCGGCCGTCTGCTTCCACCAGATGGGTTTGAGAGGACAGGAAGTAGAAACAGAATGGCAGGTCCAGGTGAACTTTCGAAGGAAAGACAAAAAAGCACGTTAAGATAGAAATAACTACAAATACAAACGAGTCGAGCAAGTAAAGACAGCAGAGAGAGGACGTGTGGTTAATTTGTCCTCCAGCAGCCTAAGCCTATAGCAGCAGAACTAAGGGATAGCACAGGAAACCCGACCCTAACTATAGGATTTATCATAAAGAAAAGACTTGAGCCCAGTATGAAAACTGGTCTATGTGTCAGCCTCAGGGTCTGGAAGTTGGTTCCACAAGAGAGGAGCCTGAGAACTGAAAGATCTGCCTCCCATTCGGTCTGAGAGCGAAGTGCTCTGTTAGGAAAATATGGAACAATAAGATCTGTAATATAAGATGGAGCTAGGTTGTTGAGGGCTTTGTAGGTTAGAAGTAAGATTTTGGATTCTATTCTGGATTTGACAGGGAGCCAGTGGAGAGAAGCTCAAACTGGAGAGACATGATCTCTCCCAGTAACTCCAGTTAAGACTCTGGCAGCAGCATTTTGGATCAACTGAAGACGTTTTAAATAATTAAAATTAATCTACAACTCGTTAATTTTGGAATCAACCCGACCGAGATGTGTTCGCTGAGCAACCTCAGCAAACAAAAAAATGGCTAAAGTTCAGCTAATTCTACAGATATCGAGCTAAAACTTGCCGTGGTAGTAGCTTTGAATAATTCTCAACACGTACCCTGAGCAGTAACTGTGACATCTGTTAGCAAAATGTCCTGTCAGCCACTGGACATATGTAAATGAACCTCACAGAAAGTTAATCATTCTGACTGTGATGAAGTGAAGATTCAGCTCAATCCGCTGCTTCCTTAGATTGAGAACTTTTGGCTTTTGTTTCATGTATATGAATGTTTCTGTTCAGTGCCCTGAGATGACCTCTGGTGTGACTATAGAAATAAACTGAACTGAGTAGATGTACATCCAGTGTTACTTTTGGAGAATTTCTTTAAAATCTGCCACGTAGACTTCGGTGGAGAGCGATGTAACGATCCATTGTACTGTATTTAAGAGCATGCAGGTTGTGGAGGGTAATATAAATAATTTATAACCGTTATGACATGACTGCAGGAGATGCTCAGAAGGATTTGACGACCACCATTAGGTCTGGACTTTTCCCCAAAAGCACTCCAGAACAAGAGACTGCAGATTAGCGTAATCCTTGTCATGGAAGCAAAGAGCAGGTAGAACGTAACGCACAGTCAGCAGAAAAGAGCAGAAACTTTGATCTGCAGCTGCAGTCCCGCTTCTCACTGATCATCCAGACAGTCAAGGTGAGAGCAGGGCAGAGAACGCACCAGACAGATATGCACTCTTTCAGCCAACCTGGCTGGAACACCCCCTGAACGTTTCAGAGCTGCAGTGCATGTGTGAACACAGCTTACAAAAGCATTGTAAGGTAGTAGGCCTGTCACGATAACAAATTTTGCTGGGCGATTGTTTCAGAAATTATTGCGATAAATGATAATATTGTTTGAAATTTAACAATAATTAATTGTCAAAATTTAGAAGAAATGTTAGTGTCTGGAGTGCAGTACCTTTTTTGACCACCACATGGCAGTATAAGACTGTTTGAACCGAAGGATGGATAGTGAGGGAGCGAGCAGTGTGTCTCTAAGAAAAATGGTAGGGAGGCCCCTCGACGTGACATGAGCTGTCTCTCTTTCCTGTTTTTGTTTCTCAAAATGGTGGACGCTCGGTGTGGTTTGAGCTCTTTAGCATTTTTCACACAAAGCTTTTAATAAAAATCAGTAAACAAGTTCTCAGCTTCTTTTTGTAGAAAAAAACAACTTTTTACACGAAGGCACGGGCTTCAACTGTGAATTTTGGAGCTTTGACAAAACTGAGTTTTTTTACAGAGGTCGACCTGTTAGCTTAGCTCGTAGCTTAGCTGCTTTTAACAATCCAAAAACGTGATTTTTGATTGAACGATAAAGCCGATAAATGAAAATGAGGTGGATAATTTTCATTTATCGTGCAATTAATTGTTTATCGCGACAGGCCTGTTGTAAGGTTCATATTCAATGTAACAAACTGTGTTTTCAGGAACCCACCTGCTGCTGCACTTCTGCTGATCTCGATTTGTCCAGACTGAAGTAGGCGTTTGCGTTCAGGCCACAGTAAGCTGCACTGTTAGCAGACGTGGCGCTGCCTGCTGAGCTCATCTCCACATGCTCGTCTGGCATCTTGGCAAACCTCTGCTCGAACACTCCCTGAAACACAATTTAAAAAGAAATTAAGTCAAACGGAGCCAAAATACTTGGTTTTTTTTTGCCTTTCATATGCAACAACCCACCTGAAGTTTTCTGGCCATGGCCACAACGTTGTGATGTGGGGGGTTGTATTTGTAGCAGTTGGAAAAAATTAACCGAACGTCTGCGGCGAACTGCTGCGCATCCTGGTATTCTCCTCCGTCCAGCTTGTTCTGCAGGTTCAGAACGAACAACTGAACCTCAGTCTTTTTATTTGTAAAACCACAAAAATAAGCTAGAGAAGTGAATGTACTTTAACAGTGCTGAGATCCATCGGGTACTTGATGATGTCATGGTAATCGTGCAGCCCCAGAGCTTGAGCGTTAACAGGCAGGTAGAAGGGCCAGGCGTGGCTCGAGTGTTTCTTAGACAGCATCTCCTTCAGGATTTCGTTGCAGTACTTGAGCTGGTCGCTCACACTCCCTGCCTCCGTTTGTCGCTTCGGATCGTTCTCTTCGTCGTTCGTCGTCGTAGGACTTGCAGTTCGCTCCGCACTTTCACGCCTTTTTTTCTTTTCTGATAAAATCAACAAAACTCGCTATAAATGTTCACATACATCAAATCGAAACCGGACTCCCCCCCCCCCCCCCAAGCTTCAATTTATAATTTATTTATATTCCTCCAGAGGGCAGTTTGTTTCACAGGAAGTAAGAGACAGAACTAGAAACATAAAAAGAAACACGACGGTGTGAGGATCCACAAACCAGCAAACTAAATCTTAATTTACAACAAACATGATTAAAAAGCACTTAAAAAAATAACAAAAAAATTAATGATGAAAAAACATCTAATCCAACTAATCACTTTTCTCCACTACATTTGCATTTGTAAAAGAAACAGCTGTGGGGATAAAGAATCTGTTGGTCCTAATAGGAGGAAACACCAGTCTGGAGCCACAGGGGAAAAAAAATAATAATTTAAAAACAGTACAATAACTAACAATAAAACAAAATAGGGATGCACGATATTGGATTTTTGGCAGATATTCGATATGTTAAAACTTATTTGACCAATAACCGATACCGATATTTTTAATATACCGTATTTTCCGCCCTACAAGACGCATCAGTCCAAATTTGTCTAATAACGTGGAAAAAATCCATAAATACGTTGCTTCGCCGTAAAAGTCGCATCTATTATGCGTCACCGCTGACAACCCGGAAATATGGGCCGGTGTTGTGCTGAAAATCGATTGGCTGCCAAATGGCGGCCGCGAGAGCGTGCACGGGAGGACTTTTAACAAGAATTTAACAAGATTAACGTTTAAAAACAATTATTTGTTTGCTCAACATTATAATAAAGGTGTGTCTCAGTTGAACTTTTATTTAAAAAATGCACTTTAATGTTCAAATCAGCTGCATTTCGCCGGGGCGGTGCAGAGAAATGAAGCTGACTTCACGGTTGCTCCAGGCGAGCTGGATGAAGGTGGCATGTATGGCAAGCAGATTGAGTCAATAATAGCTGGTGAAAATTCTCAGCCATCCAGGACATGGTAAATTCAAAAAAGTTCAAGACAAAAATAATAAAGTATAATATAAATAAAGTACAGTTGTTTTTGTCTTGAACTGTTTTGAATGTTTCATTATAGCCACGTTTACCCATTACATGATACAACGGCATGCCTTACTACTCTGCTGCCATCTAGTGGTTGAAAAATGGTAGTGTGCATTTTTTTTTTTCCAGACAGAAGGAATTAAAACAGTTTTAACTCAGCCACAAATTGGTTTATAAATATGGGAAAAAAATACGTCGCTTCGGCATATAAGTCGCAGGGCATGTAAATTATGCAAAAAAACAAAACATGACTCATACAGCGAAAAATACAGTACTTTCCTTTGTCAGAACATAGCCCTCTTATTTAGGCTTATTTTCTACAAAAGTTGTGTAAGAGCTGGTGACATATATTCAGGAACAGCCATATATTTTGCATATATTAAATGTTATTTATTAGCATTAGTCACCTGCTATGCTGTCTCACTTGTAGAGGCTTGTTCCGGGTTTCTGGCTGCAGTGTGGGATCCTCTGCACTCCTGTGCATGAAGCCTTCAAAGTTTTGTTTATCCATTGTGCCGTAAGACTAATCGTGCTAACGGGGCAAACACTTCACGTCCAAATGTCTGTGGTAAAACTCACCCAAGTGCTATCAGCTATTAGCTTCTCAACGGCGTCGGAAACGACGGCTTATAACTCGGGTAATTCTACGTCTAGAGATGCACCGATCCAATACCAATATAGGTATTGGTACAAAAACTTCTGGATCGGGTATCAGTGACAATGTGACCGATCCATGACTGGGCAGATCTATTCACTCTAACTCTATGTTTTGTGCTCTGAGTGACGTCACACGCTAGCGTAGGGACTGAACAAATTAAAGTTGTGCTGTTTTTACATGTTTGACCCGAGCTTGTGAAGCTCTTGGTGCGTTTAGGTGTTCTGGTGCAGAGTTTTCAATTAACTAGTAATTCTGTACATTCATGTCTGCGTTTAACAAAACAAATGTTTTAAGTTAAATCAGCACTGTGTAAGCTCAAACATCCAGGTAGATGATAAAAATGGCTAAATCACGTCATCTGGACCTGTTTCAGAAATGGGTCCAGATGACGAGATTTAGCCATTTTTGTTAATTCAGCACAGTTTTTCCTGTATCGGATCGGTATCGGATCGGTATCGGTCGATACTAAACCGCAGGTATTGGATCGGAAGTGAATAAAGTGGATCAGTGCATCCCTAGCTACGTTGGAAAAATATTTCTGACTGGGGAAGATGTAGCGAGGCTCAACGTAGTCCAAAAATCTTGAGAATCCAATATCCTCAACAAAAAAACAACTTTCCTCTCCACCGTAATCAGATCAGGTGGGCCCGCGTGACGTCATCACGCTGTGCTGGCGCTGCAGGCATCCTTGTCACTGGGTTGTCATACAAAACCAGCTTATTTCATACTGGCGAGTTATTTTGATTGAATGTCCGATGTCCGATATTGAACTTTAAATCTACTATCGGCCGATACGATACAATGTCAATAATATTGTGCATCCCTAAAACAAAATTCTAAAACCAATGAATACTAAAAACTTAAATACATCCAATTACTTCCTCTCCAAATTTGCATTAAAAAAGGAGCTAGAAGTCATTTAATAGCTGCTGCTCACCTGAAGGTTGGTTAGATATTCATAGTTCAGTACCTGCAGTGCTGCTTCTTCTACCCTTCCTTTTGCCTGCAAGAGACAAACTCTCTTCCTTCTGAGGCATCTGAGAAACTTTCTGCAGGAAAATCTTCTCCAGGGCGAGCGCCATCAGCACAATGTCATCTGTAGGCTGCAGAGCAAGATGAAGACAAGAGTTCGGACGTTTAAAGGAGCCGTGTGGACCACCACATATGTAAAGAAACTGGTGTTTATTTAGATATTTTATGGGAGGAAGCAGAATCGACGCAGCTTGAATCCCGCAGCGCCTCACCTTGTTGTAAATGTAGCAGTTGGTGAACATGGTGTTGAAGTCCTGCATGCATTCACTCGCGCTCCAGTAGTAGTTGTTCTCCAGACGTTTCTTGATGGTGCCCAGGTCCATGGGAGATGTTATTAACTTGTGATAATCCTGAGGGGGAAAAAACAACAATTGTTCTGCCTCTTCAAGTCTGACTGGAAAAATAGATCAATTCTTTCTCCCTGAAACGGAAGCAGATACGATATAATACTGTCCATGTTTGTATAGAACCCGTAGAAAACAGGCAAAAAATAACATGTATGCAAAAGTTCACCAAATATTGAGAACAATAAGGGTGAAGTGAGTAAATATGACAAAAAAATAATAAATTACAAACTTGCACGTGCAGCTTTAGACCTGATACCAGTCATTTTCACACCTAACAGGAATTTCATCCATGTGACCAGAGAGGCTCAGCTGTGAGTCAAACCAACAAAGACCCTAACGAACCCCTATTGTGAGGATCGATAGGGCAATCTACATATGAATCTAGCTTAGCTCAGCTTTATAACTCGAACACCACCCTCTCCGTCCTTTGAACCGAGAAGCTAAACGTCTTCAGTTACAAATAAAGTCCAGCTGTTTTTGTCTTGAACTTTTGTGAATTTATAAAACTTGATGCAGCCTTTATGGATGCAAGTGTTCACTTCTAAGATTTCTTTATTTGATACATTTGACTTGCAAGACGTTGTTTTGTCAGTCTCAGTAAGCAAAGCCAAGACTTTAATTGCAGAGGTTTGAGTCTAATTGTCTGTTTTTATCTGAAACAACGATTAAGCAACTTCTCATATAAATAACTTCAGATAAATCATGTTCTGGCAATCAATAAAGTTACTAAATACTCACTGGTAGTCCAAGACTGACAGCATCAACTGGCTTGTAAAAAGGCCAAGCAAACTGGTGCCGCCACAGCGCGTTGATCACGACTTTCTGCATGAACTGCAGCTGGTTGGTCCGCTGTCCCGGCTTGTTGGGATTGCTCACCTCCGGAGGAGGAGGATTCACGAGCTGCGGAGGGTCTTCTTGTGGATCTCCAGACATGACGGCAGCAGAAAAATATCTGTCGGCTTCTCTTATCTCACGTGAGTCAGTGCAGTAAAGATGCTCAGGGACCTCCAGCCCACGTCATACATAGCTTCATGTCACCTGTTGAAAGAAATGTTAGAATAAGTCGGTTCACATGGCCCGCGATGACAAACTAGAACTGCTGACCTATTCTTAACATGAATTCTGAGTTTGCACGTTTTAACTTTGATGTAATATATAATCACAGTATTCCTGATGTACGGAGAATCTTTCAACCAAGAGGAATCTGTTCATATGACTCAACTAATTAGGATTTATTTAGCTGGATGATTGAGCATGCATCAATACAATCTGTCCAGATGACATGATTTCACCTTTGTTTTGTTATAAACACAGTGAAGTGCTAAAATGTTAAATCATTCCAAATTTATCAAAGTTCATGCTCAATAATCCAACAAAGACAACTTTGTTGCATCTTAAATTTATTCATGTTTTTGAGCAGCAGGACTTTCGTGTAATATTTTACATTAGTCTTGATCAGTGTTTTTTTCAGCTTCCTAGAGGATTTTCAAAGTTTAAGTGAAAGTAAACACTTTTTGTAAGTTTTGCATAAACACCAAACATCTGTTTTTATGTAATCCACCGTGATTTATTCCTTAAACCTGATTTTTACGTCAGAGATTATAAACAAACAACAAAAAACTAAATATTCTACTGAAAACAAAACCAGCAAACTTGGCTTTTATAAGTCATATTATAGCAAAATATCACAAGGCAGCTAATAATTAAACCACGATGTATTCAGCTAGTTAGCTTAGCATCATTAACAAAATGCTAACAACATTAATTTACCATGACTCGGTTTCAAACTGTCCACTTAGGTATTAATTACAAGACTTTTGCTTTACTTTCAGACAACGAGCCAAAATCCAACACTGACTTTTGTTCGTTTTTATGAAATAAAGCCAAAAATACGTCTCTCCAGCTGTATTTTTTTTTTAGTCGACGTTGGGGACAAACTTAACGGTAATAAAACAATTTAAAGAAAGGAAACACTGAAGGTTTTATTACCAACTCGTTTTCTTATGAGGGCGTGTTGACGTGAGAGTTCAGATGCTGCTATTTTCAGAAGCGTTCGCACCGAAGGTCAAAAAGTTAACAGAAGCAGGTTAATAGTTGAAAACTTGTGGGCAACGTGTGTAACGTGACCACAACACACGCAACTGATCAAACCTGGACCCGATCACTGCTTCCGGTGTTGCCAGATAAGAAATACGGAAGTATCGCACCCGCGGATTAAAATTATCGTATTTTGAGAAAAAAAAATAGCACACACATACAAAACTTCCATTTTTAAGTTTCTAGAAATCATCTAATTGTATAGTACATTATTATAAACAGTGAATGTTATAGCCTAAAATGTGTTTTTACATTTAAATAGTCTTAACAAAACTGTTGATAAAGACGCCACCTGCAGAACAGCGCCCCTTAGTGGTGTGGAGTGCAACTGAGCCGCCACCTGCGTTGTGCATTGTTTTGCTCATTTCTTTAATATACTGTTTTTGTTACAAATAAAATTTGAAAAATAAGTCAGAATGAAATGTCTTCTACAGGCTGCTGTTGAATCATCCTGGCTCAGTGTCCAGCATATATATATATATATATATTGGTTTACATTCTAGAAATTAACATAAACCTGAACAACTTGATTAAAATGCTTTTGACATAGAAATCGCTTGTGACATATGTTTTCATTTATTCTTTCAACCTTTATTTAAACAGGTAAGTCACATTGAGCCTTGGAGACTAATTTATAAGTGAGACCTGTTTGGACAGACAATGAAAGTGGTGAAAAATTACATATGGTTTGGAGACAAAAATATCCTTACAACAGTGTGATTTTCACACATTAAGTGAAAACCTGAACAGGTAATTTATCCTAAACTTAAATGCAAATTTAACAAGACAGTGTGTGTGCTGCAGTAAATATGCTTATAACTAGATACATTTTCTTCCATGACTCTTGTTTTTTATTTTATTTTGTTTAATTTCACAGTTCCAACACTGATTTGTTTGTGACCAGCAAAAGTGACCCAAACATTTAGACAGCAGTGATTTGTTTTACACTCACACAGTAATATCTTGTGCACAGACAGACAATAATCTTAAAATAAAAATCTGGATCCGGATCTAAAGCATTGCCAACATTTAATAATTTGCTCTTTGTGACAACCTCAACATTTCCTGAAATTTTCATGAAATTCATGAGATCGTGCGTCTGGCAACGCAGAGGGCGTGGCTGGAGGGACAGACGTTGTAATAGCGCCCCCTTGCGGCCAGAGTGATACATTGCATCGTCTCTAGAACATAAACCGCGTTAACATAATTTACATTTTATGTGGCAGTTTTCCATTAGCTTAACTTCAAACAACTGTGGATGCGAAAGAATATTTTTAATTGACTTTTGATTAACCAGATTATTATTTTTTAAATCCAATACGCTGCATACAAATGTATGCAATTTAAATTGTGGACTTTAGGGACTCCCTTACTTCAGAGACAGGGGGAATTAATTGCTTTGCAAGAGGACGCTGTGTTCACCAGATCAAAATGTATTTTTTAATCGCCTTGATAAAAGTGATCCTCACCAGCTTCCGTTAGGTCTGATGGCAATGCGCTTGCGCAGAACCTCCGCACACCACATTCCCCGCTTCTGCTCGCTCCTAGAGTGTAGGCAAACATCCGCAAGAGAAATTCTTGATTTCTTCATTTTTCTCGACTCAAATTTGCAAGTATACGCGCTTTTTATGTGTCCATTCCTCTGTAGGAGTGATAATTTGGTCGCCAATCTGCATTAATCCCCGTAAGTATCGCGTAATAACCGAATCCTCATTGTTTGAATGGAGGGCCCCTGATGGCTGGTTGTCAACAGCATCAACGCTGCATGATGGATCAAGGCTGTCGTAGACTTTTCCATTAAACCAGGGCAACTAAGTCTAACTAATGCCTTTTGTCTCGAACATACAACCTAAAACATCCAAACAAGCACCTAGATTAGGCTAAAAATAAAAATCGGGCGTTGAATTTAGCATAAGCATAGCTTTCCCGTGTGTCGCTCTTTGTTCGATTTTGTCATTTAAGCATGCATTTAATTTAAGCAAACACGAGTTAATGTCACTACCTTTTAAAAACAATTCAAAATATTCCAAGGAGCCAGTAAAATGTGTTTGTATTTAGTCGATTTTCTTAAAATATATAATGCAACGCTAGCTAACTCAAGCTAACTGCGCTAGCTTGAAATAGTAGCTAAACGACAAAGCTACCATGCAGGAGTTCAGCTTCTGTGACATGAACATCTGTGCTACTTCCAGATAAGTTCAATTCGAGCATAAGCTGGTAACTGTAGAAGCTTTTTTTATCTTGATTTGAGTAAAGTCTAATAGATACCAGTATTGAAGAAAGTTGTGCTAACAGAGCAGCTAACAGTATATACCAACTTTCCAAAATTGCTTAACATTTTAAAGATGTCAGCATTTTTGACAAACCTGTTAATGTTAAGTTTATTTTCATTGCTGTCGGAGTAGAGTGCAATAGATGCTGATTCCCTCACCATGGCAACAGAGGACAAGAAACCAGAGACTGATACCAAACCTCCAGTTATTCCATCAGCCAGCCAAAGCAAGGTCAGATTGAATGTAATATATTCATATATATATGTAATCTTTCCTTCTCTCAGTGAGGGAGTATTTTACCTTTAAACCTGCTCAAGACAGATAATCTCTAGGCAATTTGCATATGTGTTTTTTAAATATTCTTGTTCTTTAACAAGCTTGAAACATCACACATTTGTTTGTTTATTTGCTGCATTTATTATAATGTTGTTTTTGTTCAGTCTGCTCCTGCAAAGCCAAACTACAGCTTGAAATTCACACTAGCGGGACACACTAAAGCCGTGTCCTCTGTCAAATTCAGCCCAAGTGGAGAATGGCTCGCCAGCTCTTGTGAGTTCCTCATTTTTAAGTAATTTAAAAATTAACAGGCTACATCACAGGAACATCTGATCAACTGAACCTGGCGTAAAACGTTTTACGCTGTGGTTAGTGTTGAATTAAACTAAATTTTATTCTGTTACAGCTGCTGATAAACTCATCAAAATCTGGGGAGCCTATGATGGCAAGTTTGAGAAAACCATATCTGGACATAAACTTGTGAGTAGAACCAGCGTTTAATGTTTTAGGTTAAAAACGTGGTGAGAAGCTGTAGTGATCTCAGAGAGCCCTATTCATCTATACAGAAAACTTTTTTTTTCTACATTTGTAATTTCCTTATTTTTGTAAGTCATGTCCCTGTCAATTGATATAAAATTAGTAAAAGGGTTAGGCTTGAGTGAAATGTTTTTATTTTATTTTTGTCTCAAGATGCAGTAATTGTGTAACCGCTAACCTGCTAATCTCAGAGCTAATTTTCCATTTAGCGGATTAGCGCAGTGTTTCCCCTACCTTTATTCAAGGAGGGTGCCCCAGCCTGTGAACAGAACCGAGCGCCCTGTCTACAGAAATGTCCTTCGCTCACAACCCCCCTTGAATTACCGTTTGTCCATCCGTTCATCTTGTCAGGTTGATAATAATAAGAAGAAGAAAAGAAGTGAGGCACTTCTATTCAGTTTGTTGCTACATGTAGTCACTATCCAAAATTGGGTTGCCACATCAAAATATTTATAAAAATCCATTCTGATCATTTGAGGAAACCATGCGTTCTAGTTTTTTTTTTTAATAATTGGGGTGGCTGGAGATTAATCTATGGTGGCCAAGGCCCCCATTGGCCACCCTCTATCGCCACCATTGCGCCTGGTGGTGAATAAAATTGCTCCATGCACTCGCCAGGATCCGTTACTCAAATCAAAAAATACTTCCTCCGTTCTTATACACAGCGTAACTTTTACTTACTTAAATATCAAGCATCAAACCCCCCCTGTTCAGTTCCAGTCCAGAAAAACACTCATCTCCAAAACTACAAACATTCACTAATCAGATCCCTCAGCACCAGGACATCGATCGGTGTACCTCTCGTTATTTTTAAGGTTCTCTATAAAAACTTGCCTCTTGTTCTTCTTCAGGCTTCTAATATTCTTATTGAATCCCTGCAGGGAATATCGGACGTGGCCTGGTCTTCTGACTCCAACCTCCTGGTGTCTGCGTCCGATGACAAAACCCTGAAGATCTGGGACGTCAACTCTGTAAGAATATCTAAAGACTGCTGCAGTGAAAATCTGAATGTTGCTGCTGGTAAAGAGAAGAGGCTCAGTTTGTGTTTGTGCAGAAACCTGATCAAAGCTTCTCCCCGTCTGAGCTGAAATGTGTTTCAATTTCAGGGGAAGTGCTTAAAAACTCTGAAAGGTCACAGCAACTACGTGTTCTGCTGCAACTTCAACCCGCAGTCCAACCTCATCGTGTCGGGATCAGTGAGTGCACGGCTTTTAGCAACAACAAACTTAAGACGTGGAGGAACGTTGATCAAAACCTCTTTTTTTTTTTTCCTGCTTCCAGTTTGATGAGAGCGTACGGATATGGGACGTGAAGACCGGGAAGTGTTTGAAAACGTTGCCGGCTCATTCTGATCCTGTGTCCGCTGTAAGTTTTTATTTATTTATTTGAACATGAGATAAAGAGAAGAGGACACACGGGAACACGTTAATTGTAACTATTGTGAATGTCGCAGGTCCATTTCAACAGGGACGGCTCCCTGATAGTTTCCAGTAGCTACGACGGCCTCTGGTGAGTTCTGCAGTTAATTTGACTGATTCTCTGTAAGTTTCCACATTAATTATATTATCTGTGTCACGTGATCTGTTTTAGTTTTAATGATTTCTCAGTTAAATAATTATTTTCTTTTCACAGTCGAATCTGGGACACGGCGTCCGGGCAGTGTTTAAAGACTCTCATTGGTCAGATCCGAAACTTTTTAATCTGTGATGATAAAAGTGCGTCCAAGATGAATAATTTAGCTTTATTTTCCTCACACTGGTGCGTTTCTGTTCCTTCAGACGATGACAATCCTCCCGTGTCGTTTGTGAAGTTTTCTCCCAACGGGAAATACATCCTGGCTGCTACTCTGGATAAGTGAGTTTGAGGATTCAGGGGATTTGAACGTTCTTCAAATCACACAGTTGGTGTTTGTCACCTGCAGAGGGCAGCACAACCGCACCTGTGGGCTTTAACTGTGTTCATGGTTTGTATTTTCAGCACGCTCAAGCTGTGGGACTACAGCAAAGGAAAGGTGAGCTCCTGCAGCAGCTGGGTGACGTTGATCCAACACATTAGACTATTTTCTCGTCTGCTTTATTCTCATTGAGTCATTTCAGAAAAATCTTTTCAGTGGTTTTGTTTTGACATTTACGACGGAGCTTTAAGGCCACGCTAAGGAAAAAAATTAAAAGCCATAAAATTATGAGAATAAAGTCATACCAGATTTTTTTTTTTTTTTTTTTACAGCTCGTTAATTTTTTTCCCACGTGTGAGATCCACGATGCAACCTGTCAATCAATCCAGTAGGCGTGTCGGCAACTGATCAATCTGAAGCTAAATACTCTGTACCTGCAGAGCTGCTGCAGCCCATCAGAGCGTACCACCTGACTGTAAACAGGTTCAAAGTCCTGATACTGATAATCTGATGCTCATGTGCTCACAGATTAACTCTTATTTGTAAAAAACCAATTCCAAAGTATAACTTAACAAGAGCAAGTCTTCATTTTACTACATTTCAAATGCAGTAAACTGCTTTATCGTGTTTGAGTTTGGATAATATTACGACTCGTTTAGCTTCGGATTGATCAATTATTGACACGCCTACTGGATTGATTGACGGGTCGCGTCGTGGTTCCGACTCGTGGAGAGAAAAAATATTAACGAGAGCTGTAAAAAAAAAAAAAAAAGTCTTGTACGACTTTATTCTCATAATTTTATGGCTTTTAAATTTTTTTTTTCTTAACGTGGCCCTAAAACTTCTTCGTAGGCGTTCATTAAATTAGATATTCATGCTCAAAATTTCTGCCATTCTGGTTTCAAACGCACGTGGCCATGAGTTACCATTAGACCATATTTATCCGATTCATTATAATGCCATCCTGATTGATTTATAAAGCACTTAAAAACAGCAACGAGCCCTATCCTTCCAAAGTTGCTGGGTCAAATCCTGGGACGTGGCTTCACAGCGACGTGTAACTGTGTTTAGCTTTGATCCAACAGTATTTCTGGTTTGCTGCGACTCGGAACGAGTCAGCTGCTTCAACAAATGACTCCGTCTTGGAAGGACTCCTTGTGTTTAACAAATAACTGACCCAGAACGACGCTTCAGTAGCTGCCTTCACCTTTGCTTTTCAGCTGTAGGAAAAATTGCTGTCTGGATAACCCTTTTGTTTTTTCTCAGTTTACTTTTGGGAAGGAAGTCGGTGTCGTAGTTTTTATGAACAGTCCGAAAACGCTGCTCCACATTTCCCTTCAATGCAGTGGTAGACTGGCAGACGAGGCAAACGCACTTCGAATATGACATCGTGAAAAAAACGTTTGTCTTCCCGTTCCGTATGGAAACGGACATTTTTTTGCTTCTTACTTGGTCCAGCTGCCCCGCTCGTTCCAAACCATTTCTTGAGTAGATTAGAAGAAATAAACTTGAGGCTATTAAGAGGAAACTCTGCAGCTCGCTGGACAGGTGACGTCTGAGAGATCTGACTTGTTTATTTCTACTTCCAGTGCCTGAAGACGTACACGGGCCATAAAAACGAGAAATACTGCATATTCGCTAACTTCTCTGTCACCGGGGGGAAGGTAAGCGCTCTTGTTTTGTGCGTGATGGTCTGCAGAGTTTGTGTCCCGATTGGAGGCGGAGCTAAGCGGCTGCTCTCTTGCAGTGGATCGTGTCGGGCTCGGAGGACAACATGGTTTATATCTGGAACCTGCAGACGAAGGAGATCGTGCAGAAGCTCCAGGGCCACACAGGTACACGCTCGACGAGATTTAACGCGCCGTTTTCTCTTAACGCAACATTTACATGAGGTTTACGTTTGTTTACGTTCAGACGTCGTCATCTCGACCGCCTGCCACCCAACAGAGAACATCATCGCATCCGCAGCTTTAGAAAACGACAAAACCATCAAGCTATGGAAAAGCGACTGCTAAACCCCCACGTTTTTGTTTTGTTTTGGGGGGGGTTATTCATCTATATATATTTTTTTCCTTCTCCATTGTGTTGTAAGATAAAAAGACCTTTTTGTAAAGAGCTCCTGATGGATGCAGCAAGTTTTGAGTTCATGAAATCCCGCGAGGGGAACTCCGCGGCGGACACTCGTCTCACCTCACCTGACACTCGTCAGCTTCTGTCTCATTAAACGGTGACTTGTTTTAAAGAATTGTTCTGGTGTTTCAGTATTTTTCACAGCATTTGCTTCACAACAGCTCCTGTCCAGTAAATGTAATGGTTACTGCTCCTTTGATTTCTTTAACGTAGTCTCAAACTGTAAAGCGTTGTTTGATCTTCACACCAGGCTTTGATTAAAAAAAGACGAGAATTAATTTCTTTTACAAATAATACCAACGTTGCTAAGTTTCTTCAAATGTCGAGCGTGAAGCAGAATGCCTCACAAAAAGACTTTAAATCAGTAAATACGTGAATGAGGGATAAAAGCTTTTGTCCCACTTAAAACAATTTTAGTGTATTAACACAACAGCAACCTGATGTTACTGTGCTGTAGTATTTGTACATATTACACTGACATGTACTGCTTTTTAATGCTTGCTTCTCTCGTAGCCGTGCACATGAAGCCAGCAGCATCTGTTGTCTGTAGTTCACCTGGTTTTTGTGGATTTGTTTTGCGTTTGACAGCTATAACCTGCAAATGAATAAAATCGGTTTTGTAAATTTAACACTGTGTAATTTTTAATTTTTATGGCCTGCTCCTGAAGGGAAAGATGTCAACAACGTTATTCCTCAAACACTTTTAGTCCATTTGCTTGGAAATGTTTTACTCTTTCTGTATTTCTGGCTTAAAAAGACGTCATATTTCAAGTATTGAACTGAGCAAATGTTTTTTTTTTTTGTTTTCTTCTGTTTGACCGCTGGACGGGTCAATAACAGACTTATAGGTCAATATGATGCCAAAAGTAGTTCTGATATATTTATTATATATATATATATTTTTATAGCATTATACTATATTCAGACTTAGTTCTGGCAGCTCTGAAGGCCAAATAAATTTTGTGAAGGGGTCGTATCCTGCTCCATAAGCCGCCTGTTGAACAAGCGTGCACTTGGCCCGATATATACAGATGATACATAAATATACTGAATAGACCTATTCATACATATATGAATATATATGTGTGTGTGTGTGTGTGTGTATATGTGCAGCCTCCATGCCACACATTGATGCTGGAGCACAGGATGCTCTCCACTGCACACCTGTAGAAGGAGGTGAGGACTGAGCTTCCCAGACCAGCTCGCCTCAGCCGTCTGAGGAAGTAGAGTCTCTGATGAGCTTTCTTGATCAGGCTGGTGGTGTTGTTGCTCCAGCTGAGGTTGTCATTCATGTGTACACCCAAGTACTTGTAGCTGGAGACCACTTCCACCGCAGATCCTCTTATGTTCAGGGGGGTGTAGGTGTTTTTGTTCCTTCTGAAGTCCACAATCATCTCCTTTGTCTTCTTCACATTGATGTGAAGGTTATTCTCTCTGCACCAGCTCTCCAGGTGTTCCACCTCCTGCCTGTAGCTGGACTCATCATTGTTTGTGATGCATCCCACCACCGCTGTATCATCTGCAAACTTTACAATATGACAGCCTGGATGGGTAGCTGCACAATCATACGTGAGCAGAGTAAACAGGAGGGGGCTCAACACACATCCCTGAGGAGAGCCAGTGCTGAGGGTTATGGTGGAGGAGGAGAGGTTGTGGATCCTCACTAACTGTGGTCTGTTTGTTAAAAAGTCTAGTACCCAGTTGCAAATGGAGGGGCTTAGTCCTAGTGTGAATAGTTTGTCCATCAGGGTTTGGGGGATCATGGTGTTGAAGGCGGTTGTGAAGTCCACAAAGAGCACACGGACGTAAGAGTTTTTCTGCTCCACGTGGTTGAGTGCAGTGTGGACCACAGAGGAGATGGCGTCCTCTGTTGATCGGTTCTCACAGTACGCATACTGATGAGGGTCCTCGTTGATGTTGATGGTTGTTTTGATGCGAGTCATGACCAGTTTTTCAAAGCATTTAGCGACTATCGGGGTGAGGGCCACTGGCCGATAGTCATTCAGACCAGTCAC